TTGACTTGTTTGATTACGATATTTTATCCTGACATACAACCAACAAAGGAAAGAAAATAATTTACTTGGCTGCAGCTGAAAGTTCACACCACAATTATTGAACAGATTTTAGTTTGAGTTCCCACAGGAGAAGTTTGATAACCTCTCTGAAAGATCCGTCTGTAGACGTGTCTGTAATAATCCACATTAAATAAAGTTGTTGTTTTTTTTCTTGTCTTAGAATATCAATCACTCGCGTCACGGCCGACATCTCACTCGCCAAACGCTCGGTCCTGAACAATCCCAGCAAGCACGCCATCATCGAACGCTCCAACACACGATCCAACTTGGGTAAGTCGGCGCCAAGAAATCACCGCAATCCCTGAGAACATCTGGTGTTTTGATTAATAATGTTTTCAAGGAGACCAGTTTAAAAAAAAAAAAAAAGGCGAAGGAAAGGAAGGAAGCGATTAAAGAAAGTCTTGACAATGGTAATGATAACGGCCCGGGGCGACCTTGGCAACTTTGTTTGGTTTGGAATGACAGATAGAGAGTACGAACGCACGATAACACGTTCAAGAACGACTCAGCTCTGGCCGGGGCTTCAGATGTGATCGGAGCCAAAAACAGATTTCTAAAAACAACAGAGGCGACGAGACTCGGCCGCTGCGAGAATCAAGGTTTCAGGAACAAAACTAGTCTGGAACCAAGGAGTGAGTCAAACCCAGAACGATCACATGAGTTCTTCAAGATTTGTTTTTTTTCTAAAATATTTTTGCGATAATCCATATTTTATTCAGTGCTTTTTTTATTTAAAGCACATGTTGGCTGTTGTTTATCCATTGATGTTTACGTGTTTACACAGCGTTTAGTTCAGATATCCACCTCCTCAGAACGACAAAAAAAAGAAAAGAAAATCTGGCAGCGGAGCGTCATTCGTTCCTCATGAGCAGAGTCGGACACACGTCAGGACGCCGCTATTTCAGGAAATATTGGGCAGAAGGAAAGTGAGAGTTTGTGACTCACGTGTTGCCTGGATCACTTTACTCCAGACTCTGTCGTGACAAGAACTCACGCAGCCAGACTGTGACTCCGTCGGAACGGGACGTGTGTTCTTTTGCTGTGATATTTGGCGCGGCTGTTTTTCAGAGGCCCTTCGTCATTGGTGGAGAGATTTAACAGCCGTTCCAGTGTTTGTGTTAAGTTAGAGGACGAGACTCTGAGGAAAAAGTAGTCCAGGCTCCTCGTACCGAACGTCGAGGTTTCTCCTGACATTCAAACAGCTAATAGTAGACGTATAAAAACACAAGAAACATTTCACAAAAAAATATATTTAAACAATAAATTCATGAAGACAAAAACAGCTTTACTCTGAATGTTGCTGGAACAGGAATATCGACAGGTAGATGTCACTGTTTCTCACCTGTTTTTATTTGTGACTAATCAAAATGATGAGGTTTTTAATGTGGAAAAATGTCAAGAACAAAATCTACAAAAGTACAACTGAACATTTACTGACCTGCACTCAGAGTCTGGTCTGACACAAGCCGGGCCGCTGACCTTAGGTTGAAGTCACTCACGTGCTGGCAGCTGGTGTGGCCGTTCTCTCAGTAACAGCTGAACTTGCATGCTAACAGCGAAAAAAACCCAAAGTGGCACCTAAGTTAGCAGCTTATATGTTTTGTTTTTGTCTTTTTAGCTGAAGTCCAAAGTGAAATTGAGAGGATTTTCGAACTGGCCAGGACGTTACAGCTGGTAGTCCTCGACGCCGACACCATCAACCACCCGTCACAGCTGGGGAAGACTTCCCTCGCGCCCATCATCGTCTACGTCAAAATCACTTCGCCAAAGGTATGGGAAAAAAAAATTCCATCTTGAGTTTCTGTGGGTGAAGTGTTCTGTCACTGACCAGCTGATGGCGCTGTAACTGTTCTGCTGGCTGGCGGATTTGATTTGAAGGCTATGTTTGGTAGTTAGTGAGTTTTATTTCTGAATTTTACTCCTGACTGAACCTTTAATCCAGGTCTGTCCTCAAAACCTCCGTGACCTTTTTGCCCTCCGTCCTCAGGTGCTGCAGCGACTCATCAAGTCCAGAGGCAAATCTCAGGCCAAACACCTCAACGTCCAGATGGTGGCAGCGGACAAGCTGGCTCAGTGCCCCCCTGTAAGTCCACGCCCCCCCCCTCAACTGACCCCCCCCCTCATCTAAAGAATCCAATTTTTATTTTTTATTATTTTCATGTTCCATAAATGAGGTTAAAGAAAAGCAGCTTAAAACAGAGTGTGATTCAGAAAAAAAAGAGAAAATTAAAATCCTACCATTTTTTCATAGAAGCTGCAGAAAAAAAGTGGATGCAATAATTGTGTGTTTTTTTTATTTTATATAAACCATCGTCACGTTTCATTAGCCAATTAGCTTCAGAACCTGATGCAGGTTTGACATCGATGACGTTTGTTGACAATAAAGACCAATCCCTCTTTTTCGTTGATTTATTATATTTGATCAGTAGAAAATTGTGATGCATTAATAAACCTTTTTTTTTTCCCTCCTTTCTCTCAGGAGATGTTTGACATCATCCTGGATGAGAACCAGCTGGAGGACGCCTGTGAGCACATGGCCGACTACCTGGAGGCCTACTGGAAAAGCACTCACCCCAGCAGCTGCAACCCCCCCAACCCGCTGCTGACCACGCTGCCCGCGGACACGCTGCCCGCCAGCCCCTCCCCGGTCCTGGGAGTCCAGGTACAAGACGCAAACACACACACACACACACACCTGGAGTCGTCATTAAAAACATGAAGTAAACCAATTTTACTGGTTTAATTTAATTTTTACATAAAAGTTAAAGTTCGTAGGAAAATACGCACTGAAATGTCGCGATATTTTCTAATATCAAAAATATTAATTAGCGTTGGTTCATTTTATTTTGCTTTTATTTCTTCTCAAAAAAAAACCTCAAAAACTCTAAATGGATTTGTATCTTAAGTTAAACTTAATGATATTTCTGGTGATTATAATAATAGACTGCTGCGCCGTCCACGGGCCGGTAACCAGATATTGATCACCAGAAAACGGCTGAGGTGGAATATTACGGTGCAGTTCTCACCTCGAAGAGTGAAAATGTCGAGAAATTCTTTTTTCTACAAATGTAAAGAATGTTTTTAGGAACAACAACAACTGTTATAACCACTGACTCTGTTTACGCCGGCTTCACTCTGGAAACTGTAAGACTGAGACTGAGGAGAACTCTGATGATGAGGAGTGAAGAGTCACATGTGAGGTTGTAAAGTGTGTCCCCCCCTGACCCACCCCCCCCAGGACCACAGTCAACTTTTAACAGGAGTTTGAGTTTGTGTTTTTGGTTTTGTTTCAGTCAAAAAGTTCTAAGATGAGTTCAGTCATCAACCATGTGACCTCTGATTTGATCAACCCTCGAAAATGAAGCATTTTCAAGTCGGACAAAAACGTCACGTTTTTCATTTTTCATGTCTCTGACTTCAGTCCTTAGACCTGAATTAGAACTTTTTGACTCTGCCTTAAATAAAGTAAATATATCAAAGTGAAGACGGAGTGACCTGGACGTGGGCCAGATCTGCATGGGTTTGGTTTGGTGTGTGATCCAGATCTGCATGGGTTTGGTTTGGTTTGGTGTGTGAGTGTGTGTGTGTGTGTGTGTGTGTCATTTCTGACTCATCTCCACTGATCTCAGGGAGGCGCTGCCGAGCAGAGAGCAGAGAGAGTGTTGATGGAGACGAAGAGCTCCAGAGAGGATCACCAGCATCACCGTCATCATCATCACCATCATCACCACCACCAGGACCAGGACCAGGACCAGGACCAGGACGACGCTGAGGCCGAGGCTGAGGCCGAGGCTGAGGGCGACGAGGGCGAGAGGCCCCCGAGGACGGAGTTGAATAGGAGGGCGCAGCACGTTCACCACCGTTCGTCTTCCACCAGGACCGAGCATCACAACCACCACCACCACCACCGCCGCCACAGCAGCCGGGCCAGAGGCATCTCCAGACAGGAGACGTTGGACTCCGAGACCCCCGAGAGTCGGGAGAGTCGAGAGAGCAAGGACTCGGCTTATAACGAGCCACAGACTCAGCGCCTCCGTCAGGAGGAGGAGGAAGAGGAAGATGAAGAAGAGGAGGATGAGGACGAGGATGTAGGGGAGGAACACCCGCAGCAACAACAGCGTTACGAGCCCCACAGGGACAACAACCACCATCACCACCACCACCATCACCACCGCAGTGGCGGCGGCGGCGGCGGCGGGGCCGACGAGGCCGGCCACGGCGCCGGGCACCACCGCTCCAAGGAGCGCGAGCAGGACCACAACGAACGCAACAGGCAGCGCTCGCACCACCACCACCGGCCGAGCCGCGACCACCACCACCACCACTACTACGACCGGGACAGGGACAGGGACAGAGAGGGGGAGGTGGCTCCCAAAAAGAGAGGAGACGCAGGGGAGTGGGTGAGAGACTCCTACATCCACCAGTGACGGACCCCCCTCCCTCGCCCCCTGTAGGACAGTTCTCCTCCCCCTTTGTGCTGCTACTCCCCCCAAAACAAACCAACCAACCACAGCGTCCTATTTATGAACACGTCCTTTGTAAATGCTGTAAGATCTTTTTTCAACGACAGGATTTTGAAATACACAGATCTGAATATATGTGTGTGTGTGTGTGTGTGTGTGTGTGTGTGTGTGTGTGTGTGGATATGCATGGATGTTCTTAAAATATGCATATTTTAAAAGTTGTGTTTGACAAAGCATGACACCAGAACTCAGCTGTTCGTCCTGTGGTCGACATTTGGAACAGATTTGAAATAATTCCTCCGTTGTTTTTATTTTATTTTATTTTGTTGTTTTTTTTGTTTGTTTTTTTCTTTGGCTTGAATATTTGTTTCTTCAGACTACTGCTAGAGTCGACTAACCGAGTTAGTCCGATGCTGTAACCACAGAGGTTTAAAGGAATAATTACATGGCAGACCTGTAATTAATGAGGGGTGATTACTGCACCTCCAGAGGGTGGCGCTGTACCCATCAGTCTGGTCTTCACTGGAACAACAAGACAGTTCCTAAAGTGTAGCCCAACAGTCTGTGAAAGGAGTCAAAGGTCAACTGGATCCTAATCCAAAATTTACTGCAAATAAAAAGCTCCATGCCCCCCCTGAGGGGGGCGCTCTCCCCACTTTGGTAACCACTGCTATAGAGACTGGTTTACCGTACAGTGAGTGGTGGAGATTTTTGTGCGTTTGTTAAATCAGAATTCGGTAGCTCAAAGCTAATAGTCGCTGTAGTTTCACAGCGACTATTAGCTTAGGCTAGCTTAAGCTAACAACAACAGCTTCTCATTCCTGAGCCTGAGTGTTCAAATTCACCAGCAGGAAATCTTCAGACCGTGTTTCCCAAACTGTCACTTCTGTTCTAATCCATTTAATGGTCGTCTTTTTTTGTTTTTTTCTGTCCCTTTTCAAACCCCCGCCCCTCTGGTTTGAGACATGTTTATCTCTCCTGGGAGGTGCACCTTAGTCATGCCTTACGAGACAAACAGGTTTCATGGATGACGTCCTCTCTGACGTGCAGTACCGTGCCCTTTGTACGGTCCAGAAACATTTTTGTAACATTTTATTCTGTGTTTTTACACGAAGGTTGGTTTGAAGTCGTTCTGGGATTTGATACAACGTCTCAGCATCCAGGACTGAACATCCATGGAAGTTTTAGGGTTCATTCTAGGTCCCTTTTTTAATGAACATTATTTAGTATAAAAAAAATCATTTGGATTTTTCTTTTTCCCACATCAGAATTTGTTAAACTGCAAATGTTGCGTAAAAATAAACGATAAATAATTTTCAGTATTTGTGCCTCACGTGCAGAAACGGATGGAAGACGAGCGAAGGTTTTTCTGACTCTGATCATCAACACCTGAACTTCAGTCAGCAGCATTTGTTAAACTCACATTTTCAGACATCATGTATTAAATCCATGATACTGAAAATCTGACTTTGAGTTCAAGAGCTTTTGTTTTTCACTCACTGTTTCCTGTTTCCTGACTATTGTGTTTCTTTTCTGAACAACAGAGGAAAAAAAGTGACATTTTTAAAAGTGATTTTCTGACAAACTTTTGAATATTTTCTGGTTCAGTTTTGGTCTTCCTTTTGATAAATATTTAAGATAACTTCCTGGCTTTTTTTAAAAGATAATTGGCATTTTATTTCTTTCTCCATATGAATATTTATGACTTTTTTTCTTCCTGGTCTGATGTACTTTTTAATTCTTATCACAAAAATATTTTCTGAGGTTAGTAACTACCTTTTACTTCTGACATCTTTTTACAAGTATCTAATTTTATTTTATTACTTTTCTCCATTTTAAGCTCTCTTTAGCTTTACTAAACTTTTAGCTCCTTGCCTTTTTTTGGTCAAATTTTAATTTCCTTCAGTTCGATGTGGTGCGATGGTTTGTCGTTATCGTTTCGCTTTTTTTTTTTTTTGGTTATTTTTGATAACAATTTTTGAACAAGGATTGTGATTTAAATCATCTCTACTTGGTCAATTTCAAACGATTCCTCAGATTTATCTTTAAAAACAAAAATGCTAATATTTCACCTGACACTTTTCTATTCTGTATTCCTACAGCACTGAAGTTACGGAGAGCGTGAGCTCCAGAAGCGCAGTTGAAGCTCGTCCATTTAAATTCTGCCAAAGTATCATTTTATGGGGGTAATGAAAGTGGAGGGTGAAACAGGTCCAGAGAGTTCTGCTCTTCACACGTAGAAAGAATAAAGTCGGCAAAGTGCCTGCCGAGGACGAGGAGCTGACGTGCGTATTTTGTCAGAGGAACCAGACAGAGGGTGTCGTCTATAAATATTTCCCTGAAAGTCGTCTCTCTCCGCTGTGCCTCCTGAATCATCATGACAACATCGACAGAAATGACAATACTGAGGGGAAGCGTCTGAAAAAAAAAAGGGGAAGTTGCTCCTCCACGCACAGACGCCTGTGAAGAAGATAAACAAGCTGCCAGAGCTGCAGTGGATTTCATCTCCGAATTTTAATGTCGGCTCCGCGAAGAGGGGGAGAAGAAAAGGCACGAGGAGATATATTTAAACATCAGTCGACCTCTGAAGAACTGTAAACAAACACTGAGCAGCGCCATTCTGAAAGAATGGAGAGAAGAGAAGAAAGTTTGGGGGCGGGGGCCCCAGGTGGGCAGTTCTGATCAACGTTTCGTCAGTTTCACAAGGTCAACGTCGGCTGGTCGTGGATGAAAAGAACTGAAATATCCCTGCAGTGACTGCAGTAATCCATCATCATCATCACTGTCGTCATCATCATCATCATCATCAACTTGTTCTGTCGTGCAGGCAGCGGACGGACCAATTAGAGAGTCCCAAACGCTGAATTCTTGGTAGCTCTCATGGTCTCTTCCTGCTCCGCCCTCTCAGAGTCGCGTGAATCCACCGTCGCCATGGCAGCCGTGCCGTCACCGTTGCCATGGTGACACCAGCACTGCTGCATTTGCCGATGCTCATTCACTCTTCATCCCTCCCCCCCTCCCTCCCTGTGTTTATAAAGCTTATCCCTATATGGCCTGCTGTCTCTGGGAGCAGCTGTCGCCGGGCAGATGCTGCGGTCGAGCCGTCAGTGCACACCAAGCCTAACGAGATAATCACCAATGTCACTCTTCTGGTCACTTTTTCTGAAACTTGGCAATAAAAAACCCGATGGTGTCCTCGTCCGCTCTGCAGCACGGGGGGGCCTCCGTGGTCTCCGCCTGGTCCCAGGTCAGCTCGGGACTAAACCTCTGGAGGAGGCGCAGCTGCTCCAGGGGAAGGCCGGCACCGGGCATTCCTTCTCCACCAATATGAGGTTCCTGAGAAAAGAGTCCCACAAACAGGAAGTGTCAGTGGAGTTTCCCCTCTGTGTCTGTGGTTGTTGTTGTTGTTGTTGTTGTTCTGTGACTGGACGACGTGTACCTGTGGCTGCAGGGTGAGGCAGGGGAAGGTGCTCAGGGCCCAGGCCACCTGCTCCTCGTTCTCTGCTAGAGTCACCGTGCAGGTGCTGTACACCAGGACTCCACCTTTCTTCAGCAGCTGCACTGCCTAAAAAAAAAAAAAAAAAACTTGACAATTCCAGGATTTTGTCCAAATCCAGACGTCGGCTCTGACACTACTGTCAAACCTGAGTCTCAGTTTTTAAAAAAAAAACAAACATTAAATACATTTCTGTAAGGCGATGGTTAGTAGTTTTCTAATTATTGCCTCATGGGGCAGTAGTGAGCCCCTTTACAGCTGCAAGTTGTTGGTCAGAATCTGCACTCATGATGCTCAAAGGCGGTTGTTACGAAAGCAGTAGCAACAAACTGCAATCGTCAATAGAAATGAAATTAGAGACATGCCTCTGCTGCCATCAAGTGTTGGGATACGAATATTGCAGGTTACTAATACCGGTACTTGGATATAAATAATATAAACAGCATTTTCTTGTATTTTTCTCAAACAAGTGTCAAAATAAAAGTCTTCTTTTAGAAGAGCTCAGTTTTTAACTTCAAACTAAAACACTTTTATTTTTACAGTTCTACTTAAAGAACAGCTTTATCGCCGCTGCCGATTCTCACCTGGAGAACACTGCTGGGGTGAGTACCTACATTACTTACTTATATTCTGTTATTTGTTTTATTTCCGGTCGTGTTCATTTATTTTGTCGTGTTTTGTTTACAGTGCGTTTCCGTTAACAGCTTTGGACTTTGGATTTCCTTATGGACTTTAAATGTAATTTTCACTGAACGTAAAATAGTAAAGTAGTAGCAGCAGCTCAATGCTGCCATCTACTGGTCGAAATGTGCCAAATATTGCCAAAAATGATGTGAGAATGGTGGTTGACAGAAAACTTACGGCGTGAAACAACTTGCGCTGCAGAGGCTGATAGGAACAGATCTCCTTCAGGCTCCAGGTACAGGCCATGTGGGGTCTCTGTCCCAGACCACTGCAGGGGGCGTCCAACAAAACCCGGTCAAAGCTCTCAGGGGGGAAGGGAGGTCCTGGAATAGGAAACAAACAGGAGCAGAGATGTTTAATGTGCATCTGCTGATCTGTGGTACCGAACACGGGTGAGTCTGTACCTGGTCCTGGTCCAGGTCCAGGTCCGGGTCCAGGTCCTGGGTCAGGGTTCAGGTCAATGTGGCCGCTCACAGCCTGGCTGCTGTTGAAACAATACGCTTTGATGCTACGTAAATGCAGCATCTGTGCATTCTGGGAGATTCGATGGATCTTATTCTTGATCTTGTCCAGGGCGACGACCTCTCCCTGGGTGAGAGGAAGATCATCAACCTTAACAAAATGTCAACGGTCCGACGTTGCAGGGTAAACACACAACATTTTCCAGGCACTCCCAAGGTCGTTTTCTCAGTTCAGGTTGTTGTGGAAACAGTGCTCGCACCTGATCGCCCATGAGGGCGGCGATGTGACAGGTCTTCCCACCTGGAGCAGCACACATGTCCAGGATCCGTTCTCCAGGGCGAGGCCCCAGGACGTGTCCCACGACCACAGATGGAAGGTTCTGGAGACAGAGTTTCAGTCTTTCTGAAGAACACGCTCATGTTGTCTTCATGGTTCTAATTCCAGTTACGTGTGTTTACCTGCAGGAAGGTCAGACCGGGAAGAACGCCATCGAAGGATGGACTCTGGTAAAGTGGCTCCAGCATCCGAACGCCCACTCCTCTGTGACAACAGAACAGAGCTACAGATGGTACAATCACTGCTTCAATACGACACCTTACAGCACTTGTGTCAAACTCAAGGCTCGCAGGCCAAATGTGGCCCGCAGGAGCTTAAAAAGCAATATTTTGACTACCATATTGTCCGGACTATAAGTCACACCAGTGCCCTCTAGCGGCTGTCAGTGTGAAAAAACAAACGTAAATTTTCAGTGGTACAGAAGTAGCAGATACTCCTACACATGCCTAGAGTGTCCTCTAGCGGCTGTCAGTGTAAAAAGAAATGTAAAATTGTATATTTGAATGTCACCAACCCAGCCAAAGGATGAAAAAAATAAAAGTGTGACTTATAGTCCAGAAAATACAGTAATCTTTTAACGTTAGTTAAAGTTTAGTATTTACCTTTTGGCTCAATTTTCCTGGTGATTCTTTGGTGAATCTTGAAGCCATTCATTGGCCAATTACAATTATATTTTTTTAAACAACTCACTGAACTAGACAGTAGGTGTGGGTAAATATTAAGTGTGGTCATTATCAGCAGTGTGTGACACAGTAAGTGAAGGCAGCATCTACGTACTTGACTGTTTGTTCTTTGTTGAAGATGCTGGAACGGTCCAGATCAGCCACTCCATTTCCCACAAACACCGTCTTTCCCTGGAAGCTGGTGGCTCCTCGCGTGCACTTCCCCTCCAGGTCGGAGAAAACAGAAACCACATCTCCAGCTTTCATATCTGTCAGATAAAAAAAAACCCTTAGACTTTGTGACACGTACGGCGTTGGTCTTTTCTGACATCTTTCAGTGTCTCTAACTCTTGGGGCAGGACAGGATTCCTGGTGCAAAGACGTGAGCTCCTCTCAGTACGGCACTGCCACACTGAGCCCCCACCACCACCTCAGAGCTGAGCTGCTTCACAGGCCTGAACAACAGAGGAGAAAACTGGAGTCACTCACCACCACCACCATCGTCATGTCTCCAGGATGTAGTCAGAACGGGTGGAGACACTGGAAAAACGCCACATCACTCCGTTAGTTAAATATTAGCCAAAGGTTAGACTACGGAGGAAATCAGAATATCTACATTCTCCCTTGACGTGTTTGTGCTGAGGACTTTAAACCTCACCAGTCACTGAAGGTTTACAAACAAAAGTTATAAAATAAATGAATAAATAGAATTAGAAGTTAAAAATAACCACTGACAATTGCTAATGAATGGCTGTAAATAAACGTGTCCAGAAATGGCTAACAGTAGCAAAAAATAGCGGATAGAGGTACTTTTAGCCAGCCCTGCTGTTCAGCAGTGGTACTACATCCGAACTACATTTCTGAGTAATCTTTCACTTTTTTTTTCTTTTTTTTAAGGGGTGCTTGTATTTTTAAAAATCAGGTTTATAAAAAAAAATCTTAAAACTGCTGACTAAAAAAAACATTCAGGGTAGTTTCAGATCCCTTCCAGTCATCTGAAAGTGCCAACGTTTGTTTCTGTAGTGGTTCCAAGAAATTCCATGTGGCTTTGGCCTGAGGGAACGTCAGCACTGTGGTTGGACTGACTGTGTGTGTGTGTGTGTCTATTTACTCCACAGAGCACAGATCAGTGACGCTGCTCCTTACATACCTCGGCCCGTGGACAGGAAGCAGCAGCACATCTGGAATTCTGGGGTGAAGCAGGATCTGATGGGCGACGCCCTCTGCAGATGAGCTGCACACATGCTGCTGCTTCAGAAACAACCAACAGAGGACAGATCAGAGTCAGAATAAAGTGGGGGGGCGGGGGGCAGCAGGGGGTCAACCTCATACATGAGAACACCGCTGCTCTCCTCCTACCTTTCTCAGCTCCTCTCCTAACTTCCGTCTGATCTCCTCCACCGAGGCCACGTGAGTGTTGGCCCGAACACAGGTGTAGGAGGGGGGGTGGGAAAGACATGCGAGCAGCCTGTGGAAACGGTCCCCGGCCTCCTGACGACCCACCGCGGCCAACACCTGAACGCGACGAGGGAAAAAAGACTTGAACATTTTTTATTTTATTTTGAAAATTATTTTTTTTAAAGGAGACTATATAGAAAGGTTGACTGAAAAGTGTTCTTTAATATAAAAAAATAAATGTTTATTCTCACCTCGGTGTTTAGGAACACTCTCTGCAGGTATTCGGTCACTTCCGGCTGCAGAGATATACTCGGAAAAACAGACATCGTGTCTGGTCGTGACGGAACTGGAGGTTCCGTTATCAAACCGGTCGACACTTGCACAGACAGATCATTAAAAGTATTGAATTATTAGGCATTACAGAAAAAAAACACTACAGAGTTTCCTTTGTGTGAACGTTAATTGTCTTCTTAAAATATCCCTTAAATATGTTGTGACAACATAATATATAACAGTTCAATATCGTTAAGTGTTTTTTCGTTATAATAAAGATCTTTCAATATCGTTCAGTGTTTTTTCGTTATAATAAAGATCTTCCTTACCAGTGATCCAAAAATAAATGTCACTTTTAAGAAAAAAAATGGTTAAATACTGCTGGTTACTTCTAATTGTTTACTTCTAATTCCAAAGTGGAAAATTGAACTAAAACTAGCTGGATATTAAAAACATGCAGTCATACAGTCTTCAACGATCTGTCTCCAAGTGTCGATTCAAAACAGTCTACATACTCGTAACACGAAACATGCATTTATATAGAAGAAAGTGACATTTTATCGTTTATATAATCCTAATTTTAAACCATTCTTTGCTCACGTTTAGCCGCTCGTGGTCGGTGCCGCTACATCCGCATACGTAATACCAGATATGCTCACGTGACATGGCTAAACGTGTTTATTAAATATTTTAAATATTTTTGATTATATTTTTAACACGATGGAAATGTATAAAACGTATATTTTATGGCGATACAAAAAAAAGAAAAGGTATTAAAATCACAACAAAACAAAAAAAACCCACCACGTCTGCGTCAGTGCGTAAACGGAAGTGCATGTAATTATCCGGGTTGCGTTTTTCACCACAGCACGGCCAGTACAACAGCAGCACTAGCCTCAGCCACTAACGGTATTAGACGCCGTACGAGCGAGGAAGCTGACACGAATCTGTCCCGCCCCGCTCTGTTACTGGGCTTCCTCGACTTCTCGTCGGTTTAAAAACAAAAAATAATAAAAATACTGTTTTTACACCAATTTACTCTCATAGTAGTTGGGTTTTTACATGTTGCCGTTCCATATGGAGTCCGCGTTGACGAGAGGTTTTGCGGACCAGGGATCCTCCAGCTAGTGTTAGCCGTTAGCAGCTGTCGCCGCCGCCGCCAGGCAGCAACGGAACGTACGGTGTGGACCTAAGAGTGGAGAGAGGCTCCGAGCTCCAGCCTCTACTAACGTAACACGGACAGACACGCGTCGGTGTCACCTCACAAAAAACAAACAATGGGCCTAATTTTCGCCAAACTCTGGAGCTTCTTCTGCAACCAAGGTAGGTGTCACTGAATTAGTGACGGTTCACTGCAGCCGCTGAGCTGAGCTGAGCTGAGCCGGGGATAATGTGGAGCGTTAGCTCCGTTAGCTTTTCATGTGGGAACAGAGAGAGTGAGAAAAAGAAAAACCGGAGTGTGAGTCACTGCTGCTCCGCTGCCTTTGTTTCACTTCCAAGTGAAAAACAAGCTTGAAAAACACTTAAAATACTCGGAGAAGGCGATGAAAGGAAAAGGAATGGAAAGAGAAATGCGGAATTTTTCGTCTCCATTGAGTTTATAAACTATTAATTAGACTTTTCTCACTGGTTGTTCGTGGACGCGTCGGTAAATAGGTTTGAGCTACTCCATCTGTTTCGTGAATTCAGGTTGTTGTTTTTTTTAAATTCAAAATAAACACGAAAGTATCCTACGATTCCACAAGTTGTTTAAACGCATGTTGAACGATTTCACGTTAAAGTCAATGTTTTCATCTTTCTTTGTTCCTCTTTTACCACGAACTAAGATGTTTTGTTTTGCGTTTTTTTTTTAAGCTAGACATCCGCATTTTCAAAATTCAACCATTACCTCTTTTTTGCGGTTTTTCATTTCAACCACAACAAAATTAATCAGATTGTTTCACAAAGTATTAATGTCAACTCGTTAGTTCATAGTTTTTTATTGTTTTTGATACGTTTTTTTAACAATTTGACGAACTACTTACCACTGTGCAAATTACAGCTGTTATATTCCCACTTGTTACCCATATCAATTTTTTTGCCGATATTGTCCAAACACTTAATTTCCGATTTCGATATCAACCAAAACCGATATTGGCCTGGTGATATTTATTTGTTTATCTGTACAAACCACTGTATGATGATTAAAATAAATCATAATAAAATGAGCTGCAATGCTGCCATCTACTGACTCACTTTTATATACAGCCATTTTTCCCCTAAAATTATTTTGAGGACACATATCATTTGTTGAAGCCCAGGCAATGCGTTATCGGCCGGCCGATATTATCGGACATCCCTACATATGAGTGTTACTACATGATTTCAGTTATTTAATTTAAACTAAAAGTACCAGGGCCAGTCAGCAGCTCCTCGTTGTCAGATACACTTTATCTGATTGACGCCTACTTTGCTTAATTACTCTGTCTCTCCTGTGGCCTCGCTGGCTGCAGGAGAAAGGCTCGTGTATCTGTTGACTGACTCTGGATCACATGGTTCCAGGAGGAGAGATTACGGAGTCTGAAGTCTAAAGGGATGCAGTGAACGCTCAGTTCTTGTTGTCTCATGACAGACGACGGACTCTGAATCTTTGTCTTTATAGTTTCTTTCATTTATTGATCAAATGCAGTCTGTAGAGGAGAGAGAGAGAGAGCGAGAGAGAGAGGAGCGCTCACCGGTCTGGAGTTTCCTGTTAACATAATTGTATGTTGTATGAAAACACAAACGGCACAGTGTTTGACAGACAAGCCTGTGTCCTCTGTAAGATGATCGTGTTTTTCAGCAACGACACTTACCTCGCAAAACCATCTTCTGCAATCTGCCCGCTAACAATGACAAACACGACTAATCGCGACCTGGACGAGATGAGTGACGCCAGTGTGATCATATTGTCAGATTCTTGGTAACTCACACACCTAGTTGTTGTTGTTGTTTCTTCTGGTTCTAGTTCTTTGTCTTTTTTTGTGTCTATTTAAATAGTACAACTTGTACAGACAGATGGGGAATTAGGGTTTTCATTTATTCAAAGTAAAGCAGTAAAAATCAAAGGAAACAACTGATGAATAATTGAATCGATTTATAAAAAAAAATCGCCCACCCGTGGCTCTACTTTTGTCAGTTCTGTCAGAATCATCACCGACCGCTGCTCTCGGAGGAAGTAATATTCTTACAACATTCTCCCAAAAAACACTCCAACCGCGTTGCCCTCCTGACCAGACTTCCTTCCTGTCTGGCAGCCAGACTGAAGGCCTCAGACAAAAAACACTGCAGAGATGTGGATGTTTCAGCGTGTACGTGTCAGCTCTCAGAGCTGCCTTTTAAACACACTGTAGGTTCAGTGGCAGCGTCTGTTGACGGTGATAATATTTTGACCTTGTGATAATTGTAGCTTTGGGGACAAATGCTGATCTTTCTGTTTGTTTTACAGAGCACAAGGTGATAATTGTTGGATTGGACAACGCCGGAAAAACCACCATCCTCTACCAGTTGTGAGTACTTCAACTCTCTGGGGGTTGATTGTTTTTTTAATTATTATTATTATTATTCTCTCGGCTCTGACTTCCTCGTCGTTCTGTTTTCAGTCTGATGAGCGAAGTGGTCCACACGTCCCCGACCATCGGCAGCAACGTGGAAGAAATCGTGGTGAAGAACACCCACTTCCTGATGTGGGACATCGGAGGACAGGAGTCGTTGAGGTCGTCCTGGAACACTTACTACTCCAACACGGAGGTGAGAGGGAAACACGGGGGCAGCGGCAGCAGCAGCTGGTGTGTTTGTTCACGGCACAGATGCCAGCAGGGGTCAGAGGTCAGGCTTTTCACAAAGGAGGCCCCGTCTGAAATGTAGAGCCAGGGTCAGTGTGGGACCGTGTTTTTAAAGCTGGGAGTGGGCGGGGGGGGGGGGGGGGGGGGGGGGGGGGGGAGGGGGGTGTGTGGGCGTTCTTTTGTTCTGTTTGTGTGAAATAGAACAGGATGTGTCTCAGTGTAGTACTTCATGTACAGGTTGTACCAGGGGCTGCACTCAAAGTACATGGGGAAAAAAACGTACACACAGTATCATGTTGTCAGTACCATGTCAGTGAGTATTCACAGTACTGACCGCTGTGATGTCACAGCTGAGTCTGAAAATGACCTCAAGACCCAACAGGTGGGAGGGGTCCTCCAGGTGGTCCAGATCCTCCGCTAGTCCAGTAAATAAAATGACTCTCTGTGTTGTATTCATCTGTAAAGCCCCCTAGTGGTCAAGGCCTGACACAGGAGCATTGGACTGCCCTCTGTGGTAAATTACCCCCCGGGAGGGCAGTAGGTTCAGGAACACAAACAGAAGTTCTTAATTGATTCCCAGGAGGAGAAGGTTAAGGTGGTTATAAAGTGTGTGTTAAGGTGGTCTGAAGGTGTTGTGTGTTAAGGTGGTCTGAAGGTGGTGGTGTTGTTCTCGGCGAGTGTGGACTGGAGACTTTTTAAAATCTGAATTTTAAATCTCTTTGTAAATCTACAAACGTTGTTCACAGTCTTTCCAGGTCAAACTGTTAACTCTGCTCTGGTTTTACTAACGGCCCGTGTTGACTGGTTCATTTCCCAGTCTTCACACCGTCTGTGTCCTGAAGTCGTCTCTGACGGAGTTCACAGCCCTTTGGTCTTTTGTCTGTGGGAGGGTGAGGGCAGGAGGTGGGGGGGTAGAGGAGGAGGAGGGGGTTCATTCACAGGGGTGTCATTTAATGCAGGGCGTTTTAGTGCGGCGCTCGTCACCGTCTATTGTTTGGTTCTGGAGCTGAGTGCCTGCTGTGCTGCTGTAAACCTCCTTTGAACAGAGAGAGAGCTCTGGGTGTGACTGTTGTTTTTCCTCTGTTTCTTCCTGCGCCTCAGTTCATCATCCTGGTGGTGGACAGCACCGACAGAGAGCGGCTGGCCATCTCCAAAGAGGAGCTCTACAAGATGTTGGCGCACGAGGTAAAAACTTTCTCCAGCAGGTTTTTCCTTCCTAAACGGAGACGGAAACGTCTTGAGTCCAGCGACCCGGTCGAGGACGTCATCTCACTCTTCTCCGTCTTTCCCCCCTCAGGACCTGCGGAAGGCGGCCGTCCTCATATTCGCCAACAAGCAGGACATGAAGGACTGCATGTCGGCGGCGGAGATCTCCAAATACCTCACTCTGAGCTCCATCAAAGACCACCCCTGGCACATACAGTCCTGCTGCGCTCTGACAGGAGAGGGGTGAGACTCTCTCTCTCTCACACACACACACACACACACACACACACAGAGTTAGTGGTATTCTGATGAACTGAAGGATCAGAGGTTGATCTGGTTCCAGGAGCTCAGTCAGGTCCAAACATCTGGTTTGACTTCATCAGTTCAGGCAGACTCGTGATTAAAAACACGACTCCTCAGCGAGATAACGAGACAGGATGAGGAAAAAAAACAAAACAGTTGATGATAAAAACACGGTCACAGTTCTGTTTGATGTTCCCCAGGAAAAAAAAACTAAATTCTAAATTTCAAGGCATCAAATCCTGGACCAGAGGCCTTTTCTGGGACAGTTGTAAAACGTTACAGCAAGTGAACTCTGCTCCACCTTAAAAAAATGTAACTGTAGGGTTGCCAGTTTGGTCCACCTTAAAAGGTGCAGCATGGAAACAAACTTTTTTTCAGGGTTTTCCCACAAATGGAATCTCCTGGTGTGAGAAAAAAAAACAAAACACTTATTTAAAAAAAAACAACTTATTGAGGATGTGAAGTTTTTCAGCTGAGGTCATCTAAACTGACGAAACAACAGTTTCCAACCGCCAGATGTCACTGTTTGTCCTGAGCTATGTCCTAGAACTTTGGAAAAACTTGAGATCTTTTCCACTTTTCCCTCTCTCTCTCACACACACACACACATTCACACGTCCGTGTCTGCGCACTAACACGAACTGACCCAGTTTTTCCATCACCAACATCTGCACTTCTTTTTTTTTTTTTTTCTCCCAGTTTATGTCAAGGTCTTGAGTGGATGACCTCCAGAGCTGGCCTCAGATAGCCCCTCCCTCAGCCACCCATGGCTTCAATACCTGAACCAACCACATGGCGGCGTGACAGCTGGCTTGTGTTTACGTTTTTGTTTTCTTGTTTTTATCCATTTTGGTCTTTGACCTCTGCAGACTGAAGAGTTCAGGAACACAGACATTTCAGTGGAACTTTTCACATTCTCTGCCAAACTGGAGCTTCTGAATGGACCGACCTGGTTTGAAGGCACAGATGGTGGGTTTGTTTTTGGAGGGTCTGGACCTCTGACACTGATCACTCTCATGTTGTGTTGAACCATCATTTCAGAGTCTGCCATAAACAACATGATTCTCTCCACCAGTGGAGAATTGCAGCTGAACTGAATTTGATTTTTTGATTTTTACTTTTGTGGAGCTCTGTTAGTGTGTGTGTGTGTGTGTTTGCGTCAGATTATCCAGGACAAAGAAAGGGATTCTCAGCAGTATTGTGGAACCAGCCTTAAAGGTGACGGCAGCACCTCACCTCAGTTGTTTTGGGTTTTTTTATTTTTGCACAGAACTCCTCGGGGGTTCCTCACGGTTCTGTTCTCACCTCTTCACTGTTACATTGATCCCTTCAGTTCCACTTGAGCTGCACAGGTCGGTGCTTGTTCCCACAGCAGGACTGAACTCTTGAGCCTGTGTGTGTGTGTGTGTGTGTTTGTTACGATGCCAGAACGTCTCCATTTCAAAGTGTTGGCAAAAGTTTCTCAGCAATCGGTTCCCAGGAACCAACGGAAATGACTTCAGCTATTTATTTTATTTTTTATGGCTGTAATGTGATTCCAGGAGCAAGAAAAACCAGTGTTTTAAATGTAAACAACTATCAGTGCATTTTAAATGTAATTTTATTCTTTTTTTTATTTTTTGCTTTTATGAATGTGCTCCTCCTTCATTAATATACATCTGATCATTGGTGCTGTGTTTGTGTGTGAGCGATGGTTGGACTGCATCCTAAACATTTTCTGAATTAAACTTTTTATTGCCACCTTGGCTTCTTTTGTGGGGACAGTTCCCTCAGATGTCCAGCAGAGGCGCAGTTAGACTCCAACGTCAGTTTTATTGACATTAATATCAGCCGTTAAAAGAAACAAACAGTTCCACCTGCTTTTATAGAACTTTAGAAAGAACTTCACTTCTAAAAAATAACGTCGAGCACATTTTCTGCTACTTTTCTGGTAAATACGCTGTTTTGTTTTTTTTTCTTCTTCTAAAATTGTTCTATACATTCACTTTTCAATGACACCTTTGCACTGAGGTAATGAGCAAAGAAAACACTGGCAGGACGGGCATTTAGAAGTGAAGGTCAACCAGGAACAGATGAAGATGATCTACAAAAGCTACAAAATGAGTAAAACAGAAGCAGTGAAACGCTGATATGATTTCAAAGCTGGGACCGACTTCTGTCTGACAAGTTACAGACTTGAAATACACTTAAAAAATGTTACAAACTCAGTGCCAAAAAAAGAGTTCTCACAGTAACGTCACTGTCACAGAAAAGCAACACAACATGACAGAGGGTCTGGACCGCTGACCTCTGACCCCGACCCTGTCCGTCCCAGGATGGAATACGATTAAAAATCAATGTTTGATGGTGCTGGTGTCGCGTCAGGACTCCTCTCGGATTCCCAGTCGTGTCCAGACCTCCTCGGACGTCCTCTCTGTGGTCTCTTTGAAAACGTGGCGAGTGAAAATGTCAAAACTGTGCTTGGGGTCAGAAACCACACTGGAGAAGGAAAGAGCGTGAAGCTGCCGCAGGAACGTCGCCATCCTGTTTTTCTTTTTTTAAATGTCCGCCATGTTACTGTATATGCACTACCCTGCCAGCAGAGGGAGCAGGATTCAAACATGCAGTTATCTTTAAAGGTGCGAAACATGGCTTCAGGACGAGGCAACCACGTCCTTAAAAAAACAAATGACTTTTAAAACACACGGAGTGATGAAGTGAAAACACGGAGGAGGGGAAGTCCACACGGGGGGTTGGGAGGGGCACCTGGATTCGGTTACACACACAGAGCTCTGGGGCACCTGGGAAAAAAAAGAGGAAAAAAAAAATCATCTTTGTGTAATTTTTAAAAGGATAAAAGTGTGGCAACAAACCCGTGGTTCTGGGCCTGACCTGTCCTCAGTGAAGCCGTCCAACTCCTCCTCATCGTCCAGCTCCATGTCCAGCTCGTTGTCCAGACTGTCACGGCCGTAACCGCTCAGGACGCTGCAGTTTATCAACGACATCAATGTGACCAGGAGTCAATGTTGACGCTTTATTATAAAGAAGGTTAAAAAAAAACAACAAACTGCTGCTGACCTGACAGAGCGACATGTGAAGAAAACGATTCTCTTCAACTTCTTGTTGTAGAAAAAATAGTTGAAGGACCAGAGACTTCCTTCTTCACCAAAGGGGTCGGAGTCCAGGTCGGGGTTGTAGCTGTGACACACGTGTGGAAATATATTTGAAATATATTTATGTACTTGTGTACATACGTCCTCTACAGCATGACTCGTACCTGTAGATGTCACAGCCCTGCAGGTTGATCTCCTGGTCGATGGCGTTCCACAGCTCCGGCCCCAGGGAGTTGAACTCCTCACCTACAGCTGAGAACAGGCTGCTGTTCACAGCGTTGGCCACCTGAGGGCGGGTGGACGATGACAGAAAATTAATCTCACGGTTTGAATAAATTCAAGAGCGGCGTCACAGCGACGCTCAGACTCACCCAGTTCAGACTGGGCTCTCGGCTGAACTCGTGGGCTCGCGCCGCGCTGAAGTCGTAATCCGGCCTGAAGGATTCGTTGAGTGTGGTGATGAGGTAGAAGAGTGTCTTCCTGCAACACTTGTCACTCAGAGGGTTCTCGCCGTCTTCGCTGCTCTTCCCCAGTCTGGACACACAGACAGGAAGTGATTTCTCTGAACCACAAAATGTCTCTAACCTTCTGGTTGCAGTACTCACTGTGAAGGACTGGTGGCGCTGGTGGACTGAGGGGGAGATAGAGCCTCCAGGACGTGTGGCTCCCCCTCCTGGCAGAACTGCTTGAACATATGTTTATCATCTCCTGCCATTTTACAGGAGTAGCTCTCGATCCTGGGGGAGAAAAGACACATTTAAAGTTTTAAGAAAAACAAAAGAAGTTTGTTCAAACTATTTAATGAAAACCCGTGAATTTCTTTAATTATAATTTGTCTGAAAAACAACCTTTCAGTCTTTGAGCCTCAACTGTTCACTCTGAGTCTTATCTGAACCAAACAGCTGACATAAAATGATACCATGTCAAAAGTTTCCGCAGCGTGCCTCGTCATGTTTCTGGGTCAGACGGCTCCGTGCAGTGACACGCTGGTGCACTTGTTTATTTTGACCCCCTCTACCCCCCCGCCACTCCTTTCTCCTTCATGGAGGTTATGCAAGAGCCAAAGCTGAGCAACTTAAGCCGTCCTGAGTTAAGACTCAACTCAGACTCTGTCCTTGGCAGATCATATTTAGACACACGCACACAGTGGTGGAGGTGTTGAGGTGAGGCGGGGGTGAAAATAACTGCCCCAGTTTTTCCATCCACAACTCACAGCTGATCTGCCCCCACAACACCTGACTGGTCAGAATGTGGCGCTGAGTGAAAGTGAGCGACTTGGTTTTTAAATCCTTCTATGCAGACGATGTACATTTTACCTCTGAACTCTCTTCACTGCAAATGTTTCCGTGACCACACGGTGGCTGTGGCTCAGTGTGGAAAACACCGACTGTCACTCATTAACCTTCTGCTCAGCCCAGAGGTGAACTGGGTTTTCTCAGTACAGCAGACTGTTATCATGAAGTTATTGCATAACGTGTTTTTTTTTTTACTAGTTTGCTCCACTGTCCTCATGTAAACCTATGATCTGTCAACGACTGGGCCACGCCCCACATTGTGGCCCACAAACTTCATCGGTTTAATGGAAAGTTTCCAAATACGTGGCCCAGGGGAAAAAATAGTTCTTGTTCAACAACTTGATTTTGTTGTAGTTTGTTTTTTGGTTTTCAGCTGGTTAGTGGTGTGTTTGCTGTGTTTACTCCACAAACCCTCAGAGGTTCTGTTACTTTACTAGTTTGGGGAAAGTATGTGTGAACTGCTTATCTGCGAGTACAAAAAAAACAAACCCAAACTGTCTGAGTTCTATTGTTTATTTGCCCACTCTTGCAACTTTAATCTGATGTGATTTAATCACTGTGAACTAATGGATATACAGCAGGCCTGGTTCTGACCTCCCACTTAATTATTTTTTAATCCATGGATTCTGATTTGGTGACACAGAGATTAACTTTTAAACATGTCGGACCAACAATCTCAGCTCCTCTGGTTTCAGGATCTTTAGACGTCACCACAGCCAATCATCTGCCTTCATCTTATCCTTAACCTCAACCTTGACATCTCCCACAGCGCCACCCTCTGCTCAGCCTCGACAAACGTCGATGTCTGCCTCTGTAAACAGTTGTTTACATTTACGTAACATATTGTGCAACTTACCTGCCCAGAATGTGAGACTCTCCCGTCTCCACACACAGCCTGGAGCTGAGCGCCTCAAAGCTGGAGTTCTCCAACAGTTTCATCGCTGTGTGAAAAACACAAAGTGTTAAAGAGTCATGTGGGAGAAGAACCGGTCCGAGTCTCAGCGTTCCTCTTCGAGCTCCTGAATATGTTACTGTGTGGAGAAGCTAATCACAGTGGAGAGATGATGCACTTTTTTGAAAAGTTCTCTCTGTGTTCTCCATGTTCTAGAGCAGCTGCAATACAACACATCTGTCCTCTGTCCTTCCATCGCCTCAACGTCTCTGATCTGTGGACTAAACAGGACCGTCCTGAGGCTTTAAAGCTGGACCAACTGTCAAATCAACACAGAAACTCTTCCTTGTTTTTGTGACCAAGTGTATCGTATCATTAAAAGACAACAGCGTCACATCTTTTGAAATATTTTCACCCTCAGTTCATTATTGCTGTAGTGAAACGTCTAATGGCGTAGAACTTCAAAGGATCAAGGACTAGTCTGTGGACACTGTTTATTTAACACTGGGATAAAAATAAGTGATGATAAAGTTTAACTACCGACTGATTTGCAGTCGTCTATCATTTCTAAGTTAACCAGTATGGCCTCTTTGTTTGCTCTCTCTCTCTACCTCAGCTCTATTCCTATCATTAAGTGGACTCTCTCTCTATCTCCCTCCCTCCCTCTCTCACCCTTTTGTCTATTTCTACTTCCTCTTCTGTGACTTTATTTTCACAAGTGTTTGGTTTCTGCTTTACCATTAAAGGAGGTTTAAAATATTTACAAGTGGAACAATGTCAGTGTTCTATTCCACTCTGTCCATCTGACAGATGCCTGAAAGAAACGGCAGGTACTGAAGGAATGTTTCACAGTCCAAAACAGACAAACTGTTGTTGTTACGCAAGTTAGCACTAGTTTATTTATGCATTTTTAAAAATCTATTTTCAACTTTTGCAGCGTCTTAAAGCTGTGTCCTGGTAGCTTTTTCTTATGTCTTCACAAGACCTTATATTATCAATGAAGACCTTGAGAACGATCTTAACTTAAGTTTTCTGTTGCTGGGAATTCTTTTTTGGGGGGTGAAAAAAATCAAAATCTCTTTCTAATAAAGACAAGTAGTAACACTCGTATTATTAGTGTTCTAACGATTATTACTAGTATCAGGGATGTTTACAGTGGTAATATACATCGTTAACGTGGGTTAACACAATAGAATACTTGTCATAATTATACTTTGCAGCTTTTTTATATATTTATGTTGCACGGATCAAGCCATTACAATGATAATGTAATGTATTTACTGTGTAAAGTGGTGATACAGCGCCCCTACTGGTAAGCCAGCTTCCTCTGTTGATGTAAAATAGTGCCCCTCCCCCACTCCCTCTCAATACAAGTTGACATAAATCGTCTTCCTGGTTCAATTATTGAGGTTATAAACGTACGGTCACACTCACCGACTACTTTATTCGGCAGCTGAAGGAGACGAAATAAACCACTCCACAGACGCGTGTCTTCTTTCACTGAAACAGAGGTTAACGATCTCCTTTCGCTTTATCGCTGCGTCCACAGTTAGCCTAAGCTAAATTAGCAATACGCTCGTTTAATACCTTCGTCCCGTTTTCGTAACTTCGCAACGGAAGCTGCTTTTTTTTTTTAGTTCGTACTCGAGCTTAAGTGTCTCACACAAGCACTCGGTCGAGAACGGCTTATTCTGAGGCTTTTTAAATTTATAGAAAAACTGCTCTTTCCGATTAAATGCGATGAAATTAAATCCAGAGACTGGTGTCGTCCGTCGGAGTCTGTCTGCAGCGGCATCCCTTTCCACCTAAATTCACAACGCAAATCGGATTAGTTGGATCAAGTCGCCGTTTTACTAAGCGACTCGATCAAAATATAGCGACGAACGAGCTACTTTCGCCGAATAAAATAATCAAGCTGCTCGAGCTTTCTTCTTAGTACAGCAATAGTCCTATTCTCTCCAAAACAACGGAACCCACTGTGAGCGAGCTCGGCCCCTTTCAATATATATGTGGCCACTGAATTCACGCCCACTCTTAAATCACGCCCTGATTCTATTGGCTCATTGACCTGTCCGTCTCCAGGAGTCTCTCCCGTCATTGGTCAAAATTGGCTCGTCTGTCTCAGGACTGAAGCTCTGCCAAATGTCATGAGACTACGACTGAAAAACAAGTCGTGTTCAGCTGGTGTTTACGACTTAAATATTTTTAGAAGAAATTTTATTTTTCCTAATTCTGAATATTGTAGAAAAGCTGAACAGCCTACATTTTAAATACAAAAAACTACAATGTAATGTGATAATGTCCATGTAATAGACAATATAATTATCGATGACAACTAGAGACAAGTAACCACTTCCATGTTATACTTGCTTAGTGTACATAGTGCACTGAGTATATATGTGTGTATATATATATAT